GTTTCTTACCGAAGGCAGGGGCAGGTTCCTCTCTGGCTCTGAAGCCGTGCCCTGGTCCTTGTGAGGTCCTGAAAGCCTTCGGGGTGGCAAACGAGGTCAGGATGCCGAGGCACGGTTTGAGCGATGGGGACAGCTCTGGCCCGGGTCCACCCGCACCAGGCACAGCGCTGCTGAGAGAGAGTCGTAGCACGACCTTTCAGACAGTTGTCACTGTAAGCAAATGCGTAGTCTGAAACTTCAATCATACTTATGACATAAAAGGAACTAGTTAAGCCAAAGAATTATTAAGAGGAGAACTGAAATAAAGTGCTTGCATTTGTGCAGTAAGTGCAGTAATTAAATGTTCTATGGCGCGTTACCCATATGACTTCTTGAAAAGCCTTCTTAAAGTTGGTGATTATGTGGTCATAACTCAGAAATCTTGATGTTTTGAGAGCGTAGTTTGAACAGTTTTCTCCCATCACACATAAATAACCAGCTTTTATCTGTGTACTTTTGAGATAACTTTCATGTGTACTTTAATTTCTTTAAAAAAAAAAACAGGGGCTCTTCTGGTTAGTTAAATAGAAAGGTGTCTTCAGCTAGTCTATCAGCACTTTTGCTACAAAAGTTATCATCTTCACTCAGTTTCAGAAGACTGTTTTGTCTTTTTTTTGATTCTAAGCAAGCAAAGGGAAATGGTATACAATATATTCTTGAAATAAGATCTGTGCTTGTAGCTTTGATAACATAATATGGGAAGGGGCTGAAGAACACCCGGTGTGTCTGAATAGTAACAACACCAAAGTGGGATGTTTCATCTGGCAGGCTAAACTGAGAGGTGACTAAATCAAAACAGAGGATGAATAATCTAGGAGAGTTTATCTGGTGCTATTGCTGTCATATCAGTATCCCTGACTGGGTTGTCAAAAAGAGCTGGGAGGAAGGGAAAAACTAGTAAGTTAAAGCCTTGATGCCAAAGAGGGAAGTTTGGGGTTTTTTGTCAATTTGTTTTTGTTGGGTTTTGAGATTTTTTTTTAGGACTGGTTCTGCAAGTTGAACAGGCTGCTTTCCTGGGATTCTAAGCAGTATTATTTGTTGTGTGAGTCACTGAATGACCTCTGATAGGAGAGTATTTTATGTCTGGGTAGAAACATACACACGGAAATAATTGCTTTAATACCCACATGGCTGTTTTTCTGTTTTTGTTCCCTTTGAGAATAATTTATGTCCTATAGCTCTGGCTACACAGTATCATGCACTCAAATAAATATATATATTTTTATATATATAGCCAATATATTTATATAGCCAAGATTTGCTGTGGACATTAACTTGTGTTTTATTTTATTTCTATTTCAAGCAAATTATTTATTTTATCTCTATACCTGCTGGCTCATGGAGAGGGCTGAGCGTGTGGCAGTAGCATCCTGAAGAACACATTTCCTGTTCTGGGGTTAGATAAAATTAGGTAATGTTAGGTAAGTGCAAAGGATTCATTCCTTTTTCTTAGGGCATACTGTCATGTACAAATTCAAGTCCTAAGGTATTGCCATGTTTTAGGAATTACATTCCCCAGTTCCAAACGAAACACTCTAAACCATGCATCACTCACTCACTCACTCACTCACTCACTCGCTCACCCTTCACCCTACCTCTCTCCCTGCACAGCCTCAGAGAAGAGAATTTGAGGCACAAAAGGCAAAGATCACAGGTTCAGATAAGGACAATTTACTGGAAACAGCAAATGAAATAAGAAAGCAAACAGTAACAGCAGTAGTGTAGAAGAGATGATTCACACACAAGCTTTCACTTTGTGGGACCCCTGGCAGTACCAGACCACACCATGCTATTTGACCTGGAAGGGATGCCTCCCCCAATTCTTGGAAAATGATGTGAGGTGGTATAGAATAACCTTAATGTCCTAGCCTGGAAAAATTAACCCTGGCTTGGCCAGAAGTGGAACGGGGATACACAGGGGTCATTATAATGATGACTAGCCCCATTTCTGCTGTTTGTGAAATTTTAAAGAAGTTAGACTAGCAAAGATTAAGTGGCGAATAATGTCATAGTTTAGATACGGACTATGCTGAATACTGTCAGTTTTGCATCTCTGTCTTTTATAGTCCTGGATGATCAGATGTGTCACGGATCTTCAATGTGTGATAAGGAAAAGGAAGAAATCAGAAATTCTACCGCAGAGACTGATACAGGAGTGGAGCTTACTCTTTTCTACCTCTCATTACTTCAGTAGATCAAAGGAATGCTTAAAGCTTCTCAAACAGGGTGGATCGCCTGTAAATCACTGTTAAACATTTCGTATTTGGCCTGTCTACTGTTGTACACTGTCCAATGCAATATTATCTTGAAAGGCTGCAAAATGTTTATCAGCTGAAAATTTGAATCCTGCTGCGGTTGTGCACTGCATTAGCAACGTTGAATATTTACTATAATAGATTGAGGTTGTACAGCGGGTGGAGTTGAGGTAGTTAATTATAGTGTTATTGCTGTTTCTCTCAGTGAAGCAGTATCTGCAGAGGAAATTGATCTAATAGTATTTTGAGTTTTCTCTGCTGGCAGTCATTATCCAGTTGGTTTGTTGTTTTTTTGAAATGTTTTGCGCTCTTTGTCTGACACTGACCATGTAATCCATTTTCTAATCTTCAAGGCCACAGGTCTGATTACGTGAGAACATGCTAGAAGATCCATCTGTCTTTTCTCTAATGATCAGTCTTTACTACAGCATTACTAGAGCATTGTTCTGAGATAGGCTTGTTGTGGTGAAATATCCTTGCAACAAAATACACTGCCTCCCTACTGTATTTGGGGAACAGTCTACAACAGTGCTGGAAAAGTTTGCATCTTAGGATGACCTGAAGAAGGAGTAGCCAGGACACAGGGTAAGATGCTGTCTTGTTAGTTACTGAATCTTGGAATTGTTTATGGGTGTTTGCATTACATGGTATATTCCAGAATAGCTCTTTGCAGCACCAAGCTGAGGAATATACATTATGTTATATGAATATACATTTTATGTAAAGTATATTACATAAGTCTTCATGGAAGCTGCAGTAGTTCTAGAAATTAAAGCAAATATAATTTAATGAGAACATTTAGAATCCCATTGTAGTAAGATGGTAAACCACAAAGTGATTCATATTTACACTCAAATGACTGATTAGTTTCTACATTTCTCTCCTTTCATTAAGTACATCTAAGATGATAATCCACATTTCCCTAAACTTTATTACCTCTGAACCTCAGCTTTACCACAGTGTTAATGTCAGTTACTTTTTCAGCTTGGTGCATGGATAAATCACTTGTTTTAGTGGAAACACTGGTTGAGACTGTGAGAGAGCAATAGAAAGGGAACAACTGAATATAGAGCTTAAATGCTGAGTCAGTAATCATATTTTGAAGCGCAGAAGGGAGATAAAGATAAACTGGTGGCTGACTGGAAATGTTAGATAACCGTATTGCAGTTTTCTTAGATAATGTTCTTGCTGCAATGTAGAGTAGCTTGGTAGGCTGAAGTCTACTCTCTAGCCACTGCTGTCACTCTGGGTTCAGAAGTACATTCAGTCTTGGGTTGTAGCCCTTCATGTAGGGAGGACAGGAGCAAATATAACATCTGCTCAGGACTAACCCATCTCTGGAGGTGGGGCAGAGAGTGAGAGAAAGAATGTGTGGGTAAGTGCAGGAAATGTTTCTGGTGTGTGTGTGTTTATGTGTCTTTGTGTATTTTCCATTCTTTCTGGGGGAGATGGCGAGAGTCCTTCAGTGCTTGCTTAAATGCTATCTCCATAGGTTGCTTAAATTTTGAAATACACTTGATGAGAAAATATCTGTAGAGAAAGGAATTTCAAGTAATGCTGATGCAATAACTGTGGGGGATAGTTTCACCCTGTGTAATGTATGTTGGAACCCTGAAATCTGGCATCAGTTTCACATTTGTCAGTCTGCACTGACTACTGTAACTGCTTTACAGTCATGCACTGGAGGTCCTGTGGAGTTTTGTTTTTCTCAGTTCAGGAAATCTTGCATTCATCCATGTGCTGCATTGGTCCTTGCTGATTGAAGTAGCATCACCTGTGTTTCTGGTAAGGAAGTTTATGGGTGGCATTAGCATTACACTCATTTACAACAGAATAGATCACTGATGTGTGCTCTGTCGAAGGCATCTGCTTTTAGTAGAGGAAATAAAAATACCCATAGTTCACTCATAATTAGAAGATTACAAACAGATGGTGAAGCTTCTTTGAAGCCCTGTCATTACATCTTACCTGTGAACACTTTAATGCTAGTTTTAGCTAGGGATTATTTTGTGTGCCAAGTTAGTAGGTGTAGGTGCGTTCGTTTAATGCATTCTGAACTGCTTTGGGCAAGTTGTTAGGTGATCTAATATTAGGTTACATGAGCAGAGGATGTTGGTTCATTAATGTACTGACGTACACTGACTGTGCATATAGCATGTACATGGCATATTTTGTGGCCTCATACCCTAAGACTGCTTAAGTGTGTTTGTATTGCTTAGCTGTGATTTCCCTGCAGAATATATAGACATACTGTAAGCACTGGATGAGTTGCACTTGTCCTTGGAGCAAAGAGAGAGCTGAAGAGAGAGCTATTGGCTGAAACATGGAAGTGAGCATAAAGAAAACCACAGAGAAACCACCACAACAGAAAATCTAACACGTTGGAGTAGTTTTCATGCCAAGAAATTGATTTGACACCAAGAAATTAATTTCAAGCACTACCTCCTATTTGTGTGTGACGGCCTGACTACCTGCATAAAAGCTGTGTAGAAAAGTTGGAAAAGAATAATGAAGTTTATGAGCCTTTTTCAGGGTTTCATGTGGGTTGTTGGGTTTTTTAATACCCTTAAGGGAAAGCAAGCTATTAAATGGGCAAAAGAAAGAAAATACAATTTGTGAAAGTTTAATTAATATACAAAATATATTAGAAAGTAAATATTAATAGGAAAGGTAAGCACCAGAGGGATTTATTGGATTTTAATAATTACTTCCCCATTTTGACTGGGAACTGAGAAACAAAAAAAGTTTGTCTCTGATTTATTATTATTAGAACTTCTATCACATGTGTTTTTAGCAATTTCAAAAATCTGAAAAAACAGACTATTCAAATCTTTCATTAGGGACAGCTTTCTTCTTCAAGTCTGCATTGCTTTTGAAAGAGGTGTTTTGTGGGTTTTTATGGTCAGAGGAGATGCTGAATTAAGTGTAAAAGAACACAGTGAATTAGTAACCTGTTTTAGTAATGGCAGCATTTAAATATCATGACTTTTTTTTCTTTTTTTTTTTCTGCTTTCTTTACATCAATCCATCATTCTCTGTTGATTTTCTAAACCAGCTGTCTGATAGGGTTGTAGAGTCTTAGCATCTCTTTGATTAGATGTGCTGAGCCAATGATTAATTACAATGCCCCATACTTGAGTTATCAAAATTGAGTAAAAAATACAGAAAATTGCTGAAGAGGAGGAAGATGTTGTATGTGTGCATCTTAGAAGGAGGAAATTAGAACTTCTAAGCTGTTGTCTTTCTTCCACGTTGTGACTTTCTGAGCAGATGCAATGTGATTTCGTTTTGAGTAGCTGTGTTAAGATTTGTGGTCTTAACATGTTGAAAAGTCCAGGCTTCTTTATGCCGGGATCAGGATGCTTAAAGTGATTTTTGACACACATAAATGGGATGATAGAATCATGTAAAGGTTTGGGTTGAAAGGGACCTTAAAGTTCATCTAGTTCCAAACCCCCAGTCAGGAGCAGACACACATTCCTCTAGACCAGGGTGCTCACAGTCTCATCAAGTGGTCTTGAACACTGCCAATGGTGGGGCATCCACAGCTTTACTGGGGAACCTATTCCAGTGTCTCACCACTCTGACAGTAAAGAATTTTTTTCCGAAGATCTGATTTAAACCTACAATATTTCAGTTTGAGGCCATTCCCCCTTGGCCTCATCCTGTTGTAAAAGTCCCTCTCCAGCTCTCTTGTACCCCTTTGGTACTGAGAGGTGTTCTAAGGTCTCCCCAGAGCCTCTCTTCTCCAGGCTGAACAGCTCCAACTCTCAGCCTGCCTTCATAGGAGAGGTGCTCTAGTCCTGTGATCTACTTAGTGGCCCTTCTTTGGACTTGTCCCAACAAGTCCATGTCTTTCTTGTGCTGGGGGTCCCAGAGCTGAATGTTTGTGTGGTGTCTCACCAGAGCAATGTGAAGGGGCAGAATCACCTCCCTTGCCCTGCTGGCCAGATTTATGGGCTGCAAGCGCACACTGTCAGCTCAGGTTGAGCTTCTCATCCATCAAAACACAAAGTCCTTTTCCTAAGAGTACTCTGTCCATTCTCCACCAACCTTGTATTTGTGCTTGGGATTGCCAAAACCCGGGTTCAGGACCTTGCTCTTGGCCTTGTTGAACTTCATGAGATTTATACAGTTTCACCTCTCAAACCTGTCCAGGTCTCTCTGTACAACATCCCTTCCCTCCAGTGTGTTGATCACATCATACAGATTGGTGTCATTGGCAGCCTTTCTGAGGGTACGCTCAATCCCACTGTCTAAATGCCTTCTCCATGTCCTGGGTAAGCAGGTCTTCTGTATCCTGTATCCCCCTTTGAAATGACACATATTCTCCCGAGTCTGCCTTTGATTGCTGCCATACCTAAAGAATCTTTTCTTCCTTATCCTTGATGTCTTTTGCCAGATTTATTTCTGCCTGTACTTTGGCTTTCTTAACCATCTCCCTTTGGACTTTTTGGAGAATTTCCCTGTATTCCTCCCAGACTGCTTTTCCCTGCTTATACCCTCTGAAAGCTACCTGTTTAAGTTTTTCCAGGAGCTCCTTGTCCATCCATGCAGGCCTCTCAATTTTCTTTCTGGATTTTCTCTTTGTAGGGATGCATTGCACTTGAACCTGAAGGAGACAACTCTTCAATATTGTCCAGCTCTTTTCGGCCACTCTTCCCTCCACAGTTCTATCCCATGGCGCTCTTCTAAGGAGTTCCTTGAAGATGCCAAAGTCCGCTGTCTTGTAGTCCAGGGTAGTGACCTTCTTCCCATACTCCTCACTGCCCCAAGGACCTTAAAATCCACCACTTCATGATAACTGCAGCCCAGGCTGCCCTTGAGCTTCACATTCACCAGCCCCTCCTTGTCGGTAAGAAGAAAATCCAGCACGGCACCTCTCCTTGTTGGCTCTTCTATCACTCAGAGAAGGCAGCTGTCATCAGTGCATGCTAGAAACCTCCTGGATTGACTGTGCCCTGCTGTACTGCCCCTTTCTCTCTGGCATCTTCAGCTTTTGGGGTGGTCAGTGTTCCAGTTTGATTGCAAAAAAGAAAAAGAAAAATGAAATGCATCACTATGTGATTGTGGTGTACTTAGGAGCCAGATGATAAGAGTATTGGGGTGGGGAAGAGCTTTATAAAGCTCCATAAATAATAACGATGCATATTTCCTTGTTCAATAGCAAATATTTAGCAGAATTTGTAATAGGCTTCCTGTTTGATGAACATTGGATTTGCTTCAGATGAGAAGTTTCTGAAGTAGTTTCTGTTTCATTCTTCAGGGTGTGCAGTCCTGAGCACAGGCTCTTGCATCCCAGGTGCCTTAGGCTTTGCTGAGCCTGCCCCTGCATCACTCTGTGGCACAGCTCCTGACCCCAGCTCCAGCCTGACGTCAGGATGTGTTAAGGGAAACACTGTCCTTTTCATTCAGGAAGCAAACTACTTCTTTGGGAAGACAACCATCTGCCTTCAGCTTAAGCTACTGCAGTCTTTTTTACATTCTCTGGCTTCTGCCTTAGCGACACTAGAACTAGCTGTTAACAATAAATGTATCTCTACCTGGAAAAATAAATTACACGGTTTGTATCTTACTGCCCTCCCACATTACCAATCAGTGTGAGTCAGGGGAGCGAGGGGGAGCACTGGGAGCTTCAGGCAGGTTGTTTTTGGAAGCTCATGCGGGCTAAAGTGCTCAGAGCCTTACTTTGTGCTGGTCAAGTGATGAAAACAAGGCTTGTCTTTGAACTGCATGAATTTTGAAAGACTGAACACAGGTACTGCTCAGAGCAATTTGAATTGCAAGATACTGAATTGTGGGGTACTGAACTACCTTTAACAGATGTCTGCTGGGAGCTTACTGGTGATTTTCTTCTCTGAGAAGTTTTGCACATTAAGCAATTGTTTGTATATTTTTGAAAATATATTCATGATGCATCAGAACCACAGCTTTCTGTATTCAATATTCAAGCAGTATGCAAAGCATTGCTTGGTTGGCTTCTTAATATGCCAAGTCTGTATTTGATAATTTAGAAAATAATTTTCTTTTAACTGAAACAGCCAGAAAGCACCACACATTCAGTTAACCACACCACAGAAAAACTCACACTGGATGTGGAAGTTTAATAAAAAAGGAGACAATGGAACACTAGTCCCAGAGTATAGTTTCACTTGAAGGTAGCATCTCCTCTGCCATACACATTTTTTGGAATCGAATAAGATGCTGTCTTTTTAAAGCTTGGCTTTTCGGTCTTGTGTATTGAAATCGAGCTTTGTGGAATAGTAAGAAGCTCTTGGGGGGGTCACAAAAGCGGGAAATTACTTCAGAAGATGCTGTATTCATAGAATAACTTTTTTGTCCTGTTCACTTGTAAAAGAATAACATAAATTTTAATCCAAATTAATTCAGAATCACTCCTTCTAGGTATGCTAAGAAGTAGATGTGGTTTTATTAATGCAATGTTGATTTGGTAGCCATTTTTAAACTATCTGAAAGAATACATTTTTTATTATATGCCTTTTTAAACCATTAAATTTCTGCTTTTAAATATCTGAATGAATATGAACACCCATGTGGTAGACAACAGTACTGCTGGCATTCTTAAATAGAGAAGAAATAAAATTAGATTGAGCATACAAGGTTATAGCTTGTTATTTAAAATAAGAGTGTGGTTTGGTACTGTTTCCCATCTCAGAATAATGTCTCTTGTGCAAATACTGTTGGCCAATTGATATTTTATATTTCTGAGAAAGCTAAACACAAAATGTTGTAGGAGATAGTAAGGTAAATTTTTCATTGTCTCAAACATATAGCATGGTTTAAATTACCATTTTAAAGATTTGATCTTAGGTGCAGAGAGGAAAAATGTTTCTCATAAAGGAAGGCTAGGATTAAAGAGAGACTGAATAATTTGACTGCATATCGTGGATTCTACTTTATTGTTATCTGAGGAGAAATCCTGAGACTATTTAAATTATGCAGTATAGAGATAGCTTGAGCAATAGTAAGTTAAATGCTAAATCTTGTAAGTTCTTTGGACAAAACCTGTGTATTTCAGGGCTTATCTCTCCTTAAATCCATTTTGTAAAATGTCTAGAGATGAAAAGAATAAAGTACCTACAGTAATCAATTATCAACAATATAATAACAAAAAGAAGTACCACTATTAAGAACATTAGAATCATCATCAATCATCATCTAGTCTTTAACCTCAAGATACTCTTTATTGAATAAAATTTCTAAACAAATGTATATGAAAGGCTTAATGTTAATATCAAGCAAACATATTTGTAGTACTGTATAAATTATATAATAAATCTTTCTAAGCAAGATTTTACTCTTGACTGCAGGTAATCTTCAATTTATTTTTTTTTTTACTTATTCAGAAAATAAATGCTAAGCTTCATGATGGAGTGTGTCAGCATTGCAAAGGTATCTTGGAGTGGCGAGTAAAATTCAGAAAGTACAAACTACTGACAAAACCTAAAAAATGGTGAGTGAAGATACTTTTTCTTTATTTTTGATTGTGTAGATTGTGAGCTTTGGGAAAATATTCTGGCTTTGGAAACTCACAAGAAGAAGCTGCTATTATGCAACATTTTTCAAATGTGGAGTCTGCAATGACAACATAAAGGCAATGTTAATTTTCTAATTCATAAGTCTTTTATCTTAAGCTTTTGGGATGAAGACACAGAGGAAAAGCAACTGCTTCCCTCTGCTGTTAAAACTGGTTGAACTGTGGACCTGTAAGTTTCCAAGACCATCAGTGTGTCCTCCTGAACAAAAAGTCAAACCTGACCCTGTTGTAACACAATTTTCTAAGGTCTTGTTTCATGTCTGTATTAGAGGGATCTGCACATCTCTCAACTTCTGTGCTTTGGTAATGTTTGCAATACATGCATTTCATTACCTCTTAGCATGTTTGCTCCTTTTCTGTAAGAAATTTTGATCCTAAGTAGTAAATGTTGCCATTGTTTCCACAGAGTTCTGTATTGTATATACAGAATATGTATGTATATCTGGTTTTGTATAACTGTATAACAAAGATGATAAATATTTCAACCTATCACAAACATATAAATTATTTTAGTTTTCTGAAGGAGATGCTCTCTGCTTCCTTCTTATTAGATCAGTTGCAGGAGTCCTTACCCTCCTGTGCTAGCAGACACAGCCAGTGCTCCAGCAATGAAACATTGAACTCAGAGAAACTCACAACTGGGTTGTGGTGCACAATACACCCAGGTTTGTCGCAGTAGCTTGCATTTTGGTATTAGTGATATGTTTCGCCCTTTTGTGTAAAAAGTACCTTATTGTGTAGAAGGCTTGTTGAATAAAAAATACACATTCTGTGCACCACAGACAAAGTTGGATTTTGTAGTTTTTTAACTCTTTCTCAAATGACTATGTGCATCCTAGGTTTTTTTCCCAGAGGGAAGAAAGCAGGCAAAGTTTCCATGTAAATCATGGAAGCACTGGAAGTAGAAAAAGTGGCACTGTAAAGCAGCAGCTTGTAACAGAATATGTGATGTTCTCCCTCATATTTTTGAACGAGGAAGCTGTGCTTCAGAGTATTCTAGCTTTACAGGTGGTGATTTCTAGGCCATCAGTACAATGGCTGGGTTAGCCACTGTTCTGAGATGACAAGATTGTGAAAATTTTCAACAGATGAAGCTTCTGGGTAAAGGAAAAGCTTAATAAACATTAAAAATGTGACAAAAAAAGAAAAAAAAAAAGAAAAGAAAGAAAAATAATTCTTTATTTCACAAAAGATGGGAATGGAGAACTTCTCTGTACCTCAACTTTTAGTTTTTTAACATCTTTAAGATTGAGTGTTAGTACAACCACAATTTTTCCTACCTTACTTGTATTTTGAGCATTTAATTATTAGAAGGTAAACTATTTTTGAAAAAATATATAAATTTGCCTCACATTGGTAGTCCCCCTGTTTGGTATGAAAAAGTTTGGGAAGAACTTTTGAGGGCATGACAACCAAGAAAACTACTTTCAAGACAGCAGCATTACATGGGGTATATTGTTCTGGGTTATGTTCTCCAGAGATACAAGGCTTTAGAAATGTCAGCTGAATGTTAATCCACAGAATTTTGGAAATTGCTAAGTCTACAGAATTTTATCTTATTTTGAAAAAGGATAGCCCATGCCCTCTGCCTTATTAGATTGAAAATTTATTTGTTGAGAAGCCTGTTCTATGGAGACTTTTGTTCACAGAAAACAAAGTCTAGCACGGACTAGTTTATACTCTGAGAAGTTCAAGAGGAAGTCATTACAGTGTTTGAACTGAAAGCTTTTTATTTGTGAAGTCCATGGACTTTTTTATGCCATATGCTACTTTTATCATTAAACCAGAGGTTAACTTTTAAAATAAAAACTACCTAGTGAAATGAATGGAAATGTTTCTTTTGTCAACTTAAATATAAATTTCTTAATTTAATTTTTCTTTTTTGGTACTTGTTTTAGTAATTCTTTCTGAGAAAAGTATGGGGGAAGGGTGAACTGCAATGATTTTGATAATGCTACTTGATAAAATACCGTTTCATTTGAAACCAGCCTAAAATGTGTTGTTCCTCTTTCATGGAGTATTTGTTCCTCTTTTGTATATTTGTGTATTGTATTTGAACACAGAATGTTTAGTAAGTGTTCACGATATTTTTTTACTCATGTTTTCTTTCTTTTCACAGTGTGAAGTGCCTCCAGAAGACTGTAAAAGATCCTTATCATATAATTTGTCGACCATGTGCTAGTAAACTAGAAATCTGTGCTAAGTGTGGGAAAGAAGAAGAAATAGTAATTCCGTAAGTAGCTCATGGGGGGGGCATCGTTTCAGTCCTGTACTGATAATTCCCCTTGTAATAAGCCTTGTTTGGAAACTGCCAAGAAGTTGTTGTACTTTATGCATATTCTCAATAATCCCAGCATAAGTCAGTAGGAGTTGTTTTCTTTGCTTTGTTCAGATGAAACTAGGGGTGAAATGTTTATTGATGTTAGTGGGGCTGAGCCAAAAAACATCCCACTTGGATAAGACATTTTAACACCAACGGGTAAATTGTGTATCTTCTTAAGAAAAAAGCTCTTCAAAACAGGTCTTGGTGTAGAGCATTGTAAAATATACACAAGCCACTTAGCTGTTTGCATTTTGTCTGCCACTTGATAACTGACAGAAGGACTAAACAAGGACTGATATTGAGCACAGTTACCACAATATATTTAGCTGGCTTTTGACTTTTTTACTGGCATTCTCTCTTTATTGAGCATGATACACAAAACATTAATTCACTAGTTTGTGACAACAATCCAGCAATTGCTTACTTGGTCAAGCTGTTCAAATTTTATTTTTCTTTCTTTACAGTCTCTTCTGTACTCAGTAATTTTTAATGCATACTTTATTGTGTTTTGTGTCCTTCCTATTTAGTGTGAAGTAACTTTAGGGCCTTTTATTGCCCCTCTCTTCCTTCTTCCCACCTCCTGCTATCTTCCATTCTACATTGGGATGGAATGCCAGGAGGATATTCTATCCCCTGTGCCATTTCTGTTTTAATTCCAGAAGTGGGTGATGATAACATCCCTTTTGTTTTCTACAGGCTTGATAAAGGACAAGACAGAACTGAGAGTGAGACTTCTAAAAATGGCCAAGAGACCAGTAAATTGAAGGATGAGCTGGATTTTGATACAAATTTCAGTAGTGCAGACAGTGATGAAGATTCTGATGTGCTTGAAGAACGATTAAAAAGTATGAATTTTGAAACGACAGAGATCTAAGAAGCTGTGTTTATACAAGAGATTATATGCAACCAATGCCTGCCTTAAACTGCTCCAAGCCCTGATTTGACATCTAAGGTCCTTGTATGAAAATATTGGCACTGTGTATGATGATGATGCATGTGGGGATTTGTATTAATACACATTTCTGTGTATTAGGAACAGAATTTCTTTGAAAATATTCAGTAATTTGTAAGCATAGTTATTTATTTCATACATGTAACAGCTTCCTGTTTTTATGGAATAAAGCCTCTTTGTGTAATTGCTTGAAATTCAGTATTATGTGACCATTGGAAATACTATTGCTACCTGGAAATCTTACATGGAATTCCAGAATAAACACAGGTAGGAAGAGCTAAAGCAGCTGTAATGGTTTTCTGAAGGAAGAACTTGCAACATTCTGTCAATGAGTTTCCAAATGGGGTCTTTCCCTTATGCCTGGGATGTTTCCTTGTTTTCTTTTTTTTTCTGCGAAAAAGAAATGAGTGCATAAATGCCATCACCAATACAGTTCATGAACAGTTAACGCTTATTTACCATGTATAAGTATGCATTCCAGATTTGTGACCTTGTTGCTACCAATGTTTTGTAAAGAAAAAACCTGCAGGCTTTAGAATTTCTCATAACTGGTCTCACGCTTTCTTTTCATTTTCAGAATTCCAAGATCCACCTGGATCTGATGTAGTTTTCTCTGATATGAAAAGACTTGCATAGTGGAGTGTGGCTTACAGAGTTTTTATTACTCCCTTCCCAGTTTCTATTCCATTGTTGATTAAGCTGTACAAAGAACTTAACTGAAGTTGCAGTAACTGTCTTTACTGGGTTCAGGATGGTTTGTTTCCTTCTATATTATCTTCTTGCTCTGTATACCTAACTGACAGTATATATAGACATTAACCTGTGACAGTATGCTATGCCACGTGTGCTTTGGTACTTCGCCTCATTTGCAGTAGTGAGCATGGAAAAACTTGTTTCTCAAACTATGTTTTTCAAGTGCTCTGTGAGGAAATTCAGCTCTGAGATTGTTACCCATCCCTGGACTGGAATTAAAGAAATACTGAAACTTAATCTTTTAAGTGCAGATAGGCACCCCATGTCTGTCCTGTGAAGCTGGAAAACACCTAGAGGGGTTCAGTGGCAGAAAAAGAGGTCAGGTGTGTTCAGAAGTGTTGAATCTGAAGGTCATGTTTCACTGACAGATAAGTCCTCCCAACAGGACAGCAGTGACATCTGACTTAGTGTCACATCTGTTGTCCTGCCAGTTGACGTCAACAAGGGCAGAGTAAACAAGGAATATCCCATGCACACACATGCTGCAGATGACCAGGTAGGAGGCTGGGTAGAAGGCAGTTAATAAGTAATCTGGATTTAGTTTCAGAAAGGGTCTCTCTGAAGGGGAAAGCATGACTGTTACCAAAAATGAACTCGGCTTTTAAAAATTACATATGTATGGGAAGTGTTCTTCCACTTGGAAAAAATTGTAACAGCCTTGTCCTTTGTCAAAAGGTGAAAGGAAATCCTGGAATGGTAGGAAAATATGAGGGAACTGGCAGGAGCTGTACAATGAAAAAATAAGGGGAAGAATTCTCATAGTGATGACACAACCTGTCAGTACCAGGAGTGAGCAGAGCAACAGAGATAAACGATGTGTTGCAACACAGTGCAAAAATGTTTGTACAGAGGGAAAGTCCTCTGGTCTTCGTGCCACACTCCTGCTGCTCTGTTTGGAGCTGGTACTAGAGCTGGTGACACTTTGCTGTGCATGAACACAGTTACAGAGGTGGCTGGCTGGTGTTAGTCCAGCCTATCTGAAGATAGGCTGTATCTTCATCTGAAGAACTATCTGTTTTTGGTTCTGGCAAGCCTTCTGTCTTTATTTGTAACTGTGGTTAAAGGATGTACCGCTGGAAGTCATTTGTGTTCCATCTTAAACACCGTTTAACATGGTGGTTGTGAGTCAGCTTACAAAATGGCAGCGTCACAAGGGAAAAGGAGCTTGCATTTTACTGAAGACGCTTCTAACATGAGTAAAAGGAACAATTGTAATTTTCTTGTTTAATTTCGATTGAAAATTAGGATATATTTGGAACTGTTTTAAGCTATTATAACTCATAAGAGTTATGAATAGTGGGGGTTTGGTTTTCTTGTATCTTTTTGGGGAACTTACTGAACAGAGGATAATGCAGGAGTGGGATCTCTTTAAATGCTGATCTTCAGTAAAATAAATAAATGAGAATATTTTTTAAAAAGAAAGGAGATCAAAAGTCAGCAAAGTTTTTTTAGATCTTCAGGGTAGTCATATAAATGGAATAATTTTCAAAGGTTTTTAATTGAGATTTTGAAACCATTCTACCTCTTCCTTTCACAAATTGCAATGAATTGGTGTCTAAATATTAGAGGAAATAAAAATACCACAGTGCCTGTGGGGTACTGAGCTGCAGTTTAAACAGTATGAATGGTTGAGGGTTTGTCCAGACCTTGCAGTGCCTCACCAAATACATTACTGAAGAAGAAAATGGTAGATGTTAATTAGTCATCTGAAGAATACTTGGTGCATCACTAGTGATGCAGCGATGTTGCTGACAGTTGAGTTCCTGTTACCAGATTGCCCTTAGGAGTGTCATTTGTCATGACTCAACACTGAAGTAATTAGATAGTGGACTGCCGGTGTGTGTGAGGTAGCATGCCAGGTGATTCTTAATCCACAAAGGGAAATGCTCATCATAGGCTGGAGCTGCCAGAACTCAACATGGTTGGCTCGTACACGTTTCTGGAAATCAAATTACCACATATAAGGATTTCATTGCATTATGAGAAGAGTCTGATATGGACAGTACGACGTCCTAGCACAATTCCTTACTGATCTCTCAAAGTTCACAGGCATCTCTGAGACATCCTGTCATCAAATGTTTTGAAGGATCAGGTAATGCAAAAAACATTTGCCCCATGATTTACTTCCAGGTTTGCATGGGCTGGGCTCTTCTTGTCTTGGCTACTGATTAATCTGTATTCCTCTATAATACTCTAGTAATACCAGCCTCTGAAGGTTTAAAGGACTACCGGTTAATTAAGAAAAATACAGCTTGCTTTCTCCCTATAATGGGCATGTACTTGGATGCTGAGATGTAAATCATAGCATTAGCAAGGAAAATAGAAGAAAATGTAGCAGGTCATCGAATGTGAGCCACCTTGTAAACGTCTAGCCCTATAATTATGTATGTTTTCTTTGTTTAGGAGTTCTGGTAAGTGAATGTATGCCGGTAGAAAACGCAAAACTAAGTACTTATTGGAAGCGTCAGCCTGAGTTAGAGAGTTAATGAGGAAAGCTTTGTAAGTGACACGGAGAGATGCTTTTCATTATCAGCTCTTTAGGGAGCTGCTCACGAAAACTGCCAACCTTTCACTTAATTCTCCTGCCTACCTTGCATCTGAAAGCTAATACAATTCAAAACTCTTTGTGAAAAAGAAGGTATGAACTCTGCTCATCACATACAGTGAGTTTGTAAAGTAGGATTCCTGAACTTTGAAACAGCTGGAATGAGCTCTTTCTATGGCTTGGTGACACATTCACAGACAAATTACCTGTAACAGACTAGAAATAAAATATTGGTTTATTTCAGGTAGCAGACTTTTCTGTTGGGGCTCCTAAAATAGTCAAGATGAAATCACATAAGCATGATTTTTTTATTTTTTTTTCTGAAGTCAATGAGAAAACACCTATTTGTAATTATAGGGGCAATACTCCTAATTCAGTCATCAATGATAAACTTGAATTTGTGGACATAAAAACAGGAGACAAAAGCATTAAGGTTTTACCTGGATCTCTCCTTGCATTTGCCTCTGACATAACTTCAGAAACCCAAATTGAAGGGATCAGATGTATTCTTATAAGTGCTTTGGAAACAGCACCAAATACTTACTTTAATAATTCGTTTTCAAACTGCAACAGAGAAGACCATGTTTTGTACAAAATCAAAGCCAATAAAAGGGTTTATGCCTGTTACACAATGGCAGCACTCACTTGAAATCTCTCTTTTTAGCATGTCTTGCATTTCTGGGCCTCAAGATTGTGTTATCTCTAATTCTTGCACTCGACTGGCAGTTTCCTTAATTTATGTGAGCAAATATGACACGTATCAAAACTAAATATGAAAAGTATCCAAAGGTTAATTATTATAAAATGTATCAGCATGTAAACTTGTAGCATTTGTTGAATAATATGTAGTGGCAAAGCTACATGTGTAACAGTTTGAAATTTTTCCCCATTTTTTTTAATCTTCTTGACTATTTTGTTCCTTTTAGGGTTATTTTGTATCATCTTCCAACAGCCACAGCTCTGTGGAAGTTCCTTGCCATCATGAGAGCTTATACAGCCTCTGACTGTCAGCAACAAGGTATTACTCCAGGTTATCCCCAGGAGAAGGAACAGAATGATGCCAGAACCATAAAACAAACTGCTCTGCTTTGTGGGTCCTCCTTGAGGTTGGACTGCACGGGCTTCATCAGACACAGGGGAAGCTGGTAGATCAGCTTCTCAGAAACAACCCCATAGCACCCCCACTACCAAAACCCGGCCATGAAAACCCAACACAAAGTGGTAATGCTTGTGAGCGAAATGTGTGAAATGAAATAAAGCCATGGGTCTTGGGAGAAAAGATGAAAAGGCCCTGCAATGTGTTTTTATAATACTGGAGAAAGGTGGAATAATCCCAAACCTTCTGTATCCAAGGAAAAACAAGCCCCATGAAACCAGACAACTCCTATTCTTTTAAGCAACAGCAGATTTACTATTGCCTACATGACAAAGATTTTTTAAATCTCTGAAAATAGCTAATATCTCATTCTCCAAAGAAAATAACTCTTCGGTTGCAGCTTAGCCTTTCTGACAATAAGTTAGTGATGGAACCTTCCAGAATGGAACAATCTTTATGTTATAAAACTTACCTTATGCTTTAAAAAGATCACAAGAAATTTGTCTAGAGAATGTCTAGAAAGACTAAAAAGCTATTGCCATTATCTACCCATTTTAAGAAATTGTTACCTCAAGATTCAAGCCATCACAAAACTCCGCAGTGACCAGAACCTCTGAGCTATGATTTTTACTGTGTTTCAGCAGAAAATTTTCCTCAATTTTCAGTTTTTGTACTATTAACTGCTATAGTTACTCTGTAACTATATGAGTGGCATTTGGGTATTAGTAGTTCTGAAACTATGACTTCTCCTTTCACGAAAGAATTGCATTTTGGGTCACCACATCTAACTGGTTGCTTCT